AGGAAGGAAGGAAGGAAGGAAGAAAGAAAGAAAGAAAGAAAGAAAGAAAGAAAGAAAGAAAGAAAGAAAGAAAGAAAGAAAGAAAGAAAGAGAAAGACAGGGACTAGCCAGGCTGGTTCCTCAAGGCCTTGGCTGGCAGGAAGACATCTGTGGGCCAGTCCAGTGCCACAAGGTGCTGGGCAAGTGGGGCCTCATTATGATAAGCAAATATGTGATGGAGAAATGAGCGAGAAAGAGAAGCAGAGTGGTTCACATGCTATGGAAAAACACAGAAAGGAAGAAACAAAGGTCGTAAGGAATGAATGGGCAGATGTTGGAGGCCTGCTTACCACCTGGGGCCATGGTGAAGGTGGTAAGGTATAGACTGAGGAGGGAGGTCTGCTTGCCATCCAGGGCCATGCTGATGTCCGGGCCAGGCTGCTGCCAAGGGCCATGCTGGGTCCCTGGTCCTACAGTAGCCAGGGTCTGTGTTGATGTCCATGGCTCCTGTTGCCATCCAGTGCCATGCTGATTCCAGTGGTCTGCCTACCTCCTGGGGCTGTTTGGGTCCAGAGGCCACACTGCTGCTGGTGCCTGCCAATCTGGGTGGTCTCCACTGCCATCTGGGGCCATGGTGACAACCAGACCCAGGCTGCTGCCGTGGACCAGGTTTGGGTCCAAGGTCCTACCACAGCCGGGATCTAGGTTGATGTCTATGGCCAAAGGCCACATGAAGCCTGGGGTTTGGGCAGCAACCTGTGGCCTTGATGGTGTTCAGGGGCCACGCTGCTGCCAGAGCCATCCTGATCTGAGTAGCTGGGGTTACCACCTGGAGCTAGGATGTCAACCAGGCTGAGCTGCTACCTGGGGCCATATCTGGGCTACAGCTGGGCTCTGTGTTGAACTCTGTGGCCCAGGATGGCAGTAGAACCCACACAGAGGTCTGGGGTCTGGGCTGGAGCCTGTGGCTTGGCTCATGCAACAGCTCATGTGGGGCCATGCAACAGCAGGAGTCATACAGAATGGGTGGCCTGTGCTGGCATTTAGGGCCATGGTGTCATCCGGGCCCAGGCTGCTGTGGAGGGCCATGTCTGGGTCCATGGCCCTATCTCGGCCGGGATCTGTGCTCATGTCCGAGGCTCCTGTTACCATCGAATATCATCCATACACCTGAGATCGAGGGCCGTGATAGTGTCAGAGGGCCATACTGCTGCTGGGGCCTGTGTAGACCTGAGTAGTCTGCTCTGCCCCCTGGGGCAGTGGTGACATCCAGACCCAGCTGCTGCCAAAGACCATGTCTGGGTCCATGGCCCTACCGTGGCTGGGGTCTGTGCTGACATCCAAGTCCCAAATTGCCACCAAAAGTCACATAGAAGCCCAGGGATTGTTGGAGAGATGGCTCAGTGGTTAAGAGCACTGACTGTTCTTCCAGAGGTCCTGAGTTCAATTCCCAGCAACCACATGGTGGCTCACAACCATCTGTAATGAGATCTGGCGCCCGCTTCTGGCCTGCAGGGACACATGCAGGCAGAACAAAATTGTATACATAATAAATAAAAAAGAAGCCCAGGGATGGGGCCATGACCTGAGGACTTGGTGGTGTCCACCCAGGATGTCATCCAGGCCCAAGTTGCTACCAAGGGCTATGTCTGGGTCTGTGGTCCAGCTGTAGCTGGGGTCTGTGTTGACGTCTGTAACTCATGTCACCTCAGGAACTCTTAGGAACCATGTGAGATGAAATCAGAGGGCCATGAGCCAGGCCCACCCTTCGCTGGCCCTGGGAAAGCTGGCCATGCCTCTTGCTGGACAGTACAGCAAGAGAGCTGGCCCTGCACTCTGGTCCCTACCCCTCACCACAGGTGAGGGTGAACAGACCCTGAAGGCTGCATGGAGGGGAGCTGCCTTTATCCCTGTGCCTGAGGTGGGCGGCCCCAGTGGCCCGGACTGACCAGCTCAGGTACTACCGCAGCCAGGCCTTGGGTTGGCCCACCCACCCATCTAGGACCTGCTGGAGCTTGTGAAGGGACTGGTCCTGTGGAACGATACCCGCAGGAGCTCCGAGACTCAGGGTGACAACAGGATATCCCAGAGGAGTTTGGGTGAGGATCCAGGGATGAGGGTGTGCCGGAAACCAGAGGCCTTGAACCAGACCGGTGACTCATTGCAATGGGCATTTGCCAGTAAAGCTGGTGGGATAAAGGGTGTGTAAAACCTGGCACACCGAGGTGCCCAAAGCCACCAGGACGAACCAAGAGGTGCTGGCGAGGTGGGAAAGAAGGAGAAGCAAAGAGGCTTTTTGTTGTTTTTGTTTTGTTTTTGGGCTTTTTTTTTTGTTCTTGTTTTTGTTTGCTTACTTTGTTTAGTTTTCTTTTGTTGGGGGGTGCTGCAGGGGTGAGGGGAGGATATGGGGGGACCAGGAGGTGAGCAGAATTGGGGTGCATGATGTGAAACTCCCAAAGAATCAATAAAGAAGTTAAATTTAAAAAAAAAGAAAAGAAAAAAAATCATTAGTCACTACCATTCTGAGGCCACTTCCTCATAAGCACCTCTTAGTTCAGTGATGGAGAGACCAAAGAAAAGCTAACCCGACCCCCGTGCACGCACTCAGTTTAAAATGACATAAAGACAGAACAGCAAGGGCTCTATCTAAAAGGGGAGGAAGCAAAGACACAGAGCTTCAAAACTCCCAGTGGGCGGGTGTGAAGATGGGCCAGACCTGCAGAAAGCATGGGTTCTCCAAGGAAAATCACACGTCTTCCCTATTTGCTATGGTGCAGGGCTCCACAAAGTATGAAGTTCCACTTTGTGTCCCTCTTGCCTACATCACAGATTGGGGAGCAAATCTCCTACCGAGGGGGTACAGCCCCGAGAGCACCTGACTGACATTACAAAAGGCAGAAACATTCGAAGCTGCCCATGCTACCAGGTGAGAATCAAGTGGGTTCGTTCAGCAAAGCCCCTCCTGACTCCCGCTTTGCCTAACTCTCGTAGAAGAATTTCTGTGCTGACATTGGGTTTCTGAAGTTAGCTCCCACTTCAACAAAGCTTCTGAATAGCTTAGTGAAAGCGATTGTCCAAGGTGCACACTGCCTTTAGTGTCCCGGGAGACATGCCCACAACACAATTAAAACGGTGTCACTAATCAAGGGCTTCTTCAGAAGCTGAGAATTTCAGGCTGAATGGTGAGTCCATCTAATTATTCAAATGAAAGTTTCATCACTAAATTGAGATGAGTTTGATGGTTGGAGCTAACAGATCATTGTGACTGCTTTGGCGTGACGACTGGGGATGAGCTGGAAAGAGAATGCCTTCGGTGTTTCTGGACAGAGAAACAGGACAGAGTGTGGGTGCGCATGATTGGGGAAGATGAGGAAAAGGCCAGGCGGGACTCTGAAGATCACCTGGAGCATTTTGAGTCTGAGACAGAAGAGAAACCAAAGAAAATATAGTGAAATACAGTCTGGTATGCGGCTCTGGAACCAGCATTCACTCTGGGTTGAATATGTGAAAACAGAATTAAATGGGACTCTGGGTGTACTGTCAATGACCATGAGATACAGAATCTGCCCAAGATTCCCTAGCTTCTCAGCAGTAATGGAAGAGACAAACCCTTCAGACTCTGACTCTGTCCATTTGCTTTGTCTAAGATGAAAAGAAATCAGAGAAGCAGGACTCTGAACTTTGAATGAAGAATTCCACAAATTTAACAAATTCCTGCCCTCAACTCTGCCTGCCCATCTGGTTCTAGTTCCTCTTAAGGACATTGCATCAGACAAAGTGGCCAGTGTGAGTCCCAGGGAAGACTTGTTGCTATAGCTTGGCTCTTTGAGCTTTCCTAAGAGGATATCATGATCTCTCCCACGTGTTCACTGCATCATCTGGAGTCAATCCGATTGTTCCAGCCCTCCTACAGCCTTCAGAATGAGGTCAAGACAGGACATGAAAGTCAGCCACTCTTTTCTCAGCAATTCTTTATACCCCACGACGTACCCTGATGCCCCACCTGTGTTCTCTCTCTCTCTCTCTCTCTCTCTCTCTCTCTCTCTCTCTCTCTCTCTCTCTCTCTCTCTCTCTCTCTCTGTAGATCAGTGTTCTCCCCCATACTCCAAGGCCACCCAGATTCCAGACCAACCTGTCCTGGCCAGTGATGGCCACTCACAGAGAGACACACGTGAGAAGGAGTGCATTTTTATGGGGGAGAGCATTCCAGAACATGGGAAAAAATTACTACAAGAAGGGACGATGTTGGTGACATTGGAACTTGAGAGTAGCTTGAAGCATTTGTGGTGGGCAAGCTAGACTCCTTCACAGAGTCAGAAACTGGTCATTCCCTCAGGGAATCTGAGGCAGCACTTTCTGTTCTTTGGGCAGGTTGAATACTGGATCTCATATTTCTGGCAGGAATTTCTGCATATGCCCCCGTAAAGCTCACACGGAATCCAGGGCACTCGCCTCTTGCCTCTGCCGAATCCGAACAGGCCACCTGGGAAAGACATAGCCATGCTTAGTTTCTGTGCGGCAGCCATGCTAGAGGTGAGAAACCATGATGGACATGAAGCAGTCCCTTTGAGCACAGCCCCAGGGTTAACCTGAGCTCTGCCCTCTGCTAGCTCCATGCTTGTGTGGCTTCCTTCAGCCCCTGGCCCTCCTCCGCATCATCTTCACAATGGAAGAAGCAACAGATCCAAGTCCCCAAGGTTTTTGTGGTAATAAAATTATCACATATGGAATGTCCATCAAATCATCAAGTGTTTAATAAGTAGTTAAACATTTTAATTATATAATTATATGAATAATTTATATTGTAAATTATTATATAATTTATTATTAAATGTAATATTTATATAAATATATAAATTATAAATATTATACAAATTACTAATGTAATTAAATTATTTATTGTAATTAAATGTATGGCACCATTGATGCAAACATTTTTCCTGAATACCTTGGATCCATAGCCTGCACCATGGATACATACCAGACATGCTCTGTGTGCCTCTAGTGATATGAATTCCAGAAGGAAACACATGTTTGAACCTATGGGTATGCATGACTTGATGTTATGAAATAGATACAAACATGTTCCATACATGTCTCTGCACATTTCCTCAAAGAAACAGGTATAGTGCATGCATAAGCCACACACTGGTAACAGACACAGGGGCCTACTGATTTTACTCATGCGTTTCCTCCCTGAAAACAGTATATAAGGTGCCGTATATCTTAATAAACTTGCTTAGCATAAGCATAAGACAACTTATGCAAGACCTCTTGACCCGGATTCCCATCTTCTTCGTCTTCTCATCCCTGGCCCTCCTGCTGAAAACCCTGTCACTGAAGAATGACCTGCTGGTCTGGGTCACAGAGGGATGGCTGGGGACATAGATACTGAGGACTAGCAATCACACAAGCTGTCTTATCTTATTCTCTCCTCTTCACCGTCCCAAGAAGATTCCGCCTATAGTGGCTCAAAACGTAAGTAATTTGGGCGATAAAGGTTTACTCACAGACACGCACAGCCTCCCACCCCTGCTCTTTCCCGACGTTGTCCTTCATCACCACAGATGTTCACATGCTGTCACATTCAAGTCACATTTAATGATCTCCAACTAGAGCCACAGGAGCGGGCGGGGTTGGGACCCGGCACTGCCTTTGAGCCGCTGGGACAGTGCTATGTCCCAACTCTCTAAATGTAGTCTTGCCTCGTGAGAGATGGGAAAGGGGAGATTCACATCAGGTCAGAAAACTTCGACTATGTTTGTGAAGGAGGCTAAGGAGGTCTCGCAGCTTGGGGATGACTCCCAGGCCCCAAGTGTAGCTGATTCCGTATGCCCTTAGCTGAAGCCGGAGCAAGGGCAGTTTATAGTTGCTAACACTCGTGGGCTCCTGCCTGAAATGAGAGCCTAACCCTGGAAGCCCTCCCCAAGTTCAGCCACAGACGCTGCCAGCTGAAGTGTTTTAAGAGCAAAATAAATAGTCATAAATCAAAAAGCGAATGACACAAGGCCGGTGGCTGTTGCAGAGGATGCGGGGGTTTGGCTCTCATCACCCACGTCAGGAGACTCATGGCTGCCTCTAACTATAACTCTGGGGGATTTGTCCTTCTGGCCTCCATAGGCCACACACATGAGTTATGCACATACATATCCGTAAAAATAAAAATAAAATAAAATGTTCTTAAAAAAGCAAAAGATGCGCTCTGGACCCTTACTTTTTAAATTTTTATTTTATTTTTAATGTGTTATACCTGTGAATTTGTGCATGTGTGTACACGTACCTTCAGAGTCCAGAGGAGGGCATCTGAGCCCCTGGAGCTAGAGTTACCGGTGGTTATGAGCTACCCAGTGTAGGTGCTGGGAACTAAACTTGGGTCCTCTGCAAGAGCAGTGAACATGGTTAACTGCTGAGCCGTCTCTCAGTGCTGATTTGGCCCTTTTAACAGCTCCCCATTGACCCCAAATCAATATGACACATCATTTTTCAACCATCTGTGTGCCCGGACATAGCCGTCTTCCTAAGGTTCTTCCTAGCCACGTAGGTTGGCCATAGGTCATTCACATTTCCTTCATCCATTCAACCAGACATTTTCTCCATCTGCTCTATGCAAAGTCCTCAGCTCAGGGCCAGGAACACTAAAAACAGTCTCGGCATCAAACAATCCAATTTGATACGCATGTTTGGGAGCGAAAAAGGAAAAGATGCCTTTGATTGTCCTGGTGGAAAGGGCTGCCAGGAACAGCTCCTGCTCACAAACCCTGCCTGGTGGCAGTCATAAGGCCGCGAGAAGCGGCACTGGGTACGGCTTTTGAAGCATGGCGTGCTGTCCTCACGTATCATTTCCCACCAGCACCCCTGTGTTTTCTACCACTGTTCCAACACGAGCTTTACTGAAGAGGAGGACAAGGGTCCTCTGTAAAGTGGGTAGAAGAAGGTGGGAAGTAACCTGGAGGAGGACATAAAGAAGAAATAATAAGTGAAGGAGAGGAGAAAAAACGCTAAGGCAGGGCAACAGCTCTGGACACAGGGACTCAGAACTCACTCAGAATGAAGGAAACCACCCGCGAATTCCACAGTGCCAGGTCAAAACTGCATCCAGTGCCTCTGTGTGTGTGTGTGTGTCAGAGCTTGACAAGAGACACCTCAAAAACATCCCCTTTGCCAGGCATGGTGGCACACGCCTTTAATCCCAGCACTCCAGAGGCAGAGGCAGGTAGATCTAGAGGCCAGCCTGGTCTACAAAGCAAGTTCCAGGATAGCCAAAGCTGTTACACAGAGAAACCCTGTTTTTGTAAAAACAAAAACAAAACTAAAAATCCCTTTCTCCTGGCGTCATGTCTTCATGCCTAGAGTTATGTACTGCTCTTCACTGTGGCCGAAATCCACACCCAAAAACCTTCCTCCACATTGGAAAACAGTAGATACTTTCCTCCAATTTATTCTTCCTCTTTATTTCTAAAACCACTTGGCTGGGAGCATTATTGTTCCACAATGAACTGTACATATTTAACAATACATCTTGAGTTTGGAGATAAGCATACACCCATGAAACCATCGCTAGTCTCTATTATCAAAGATTTCCTCTAACACCCTTATTTAATATTCTTTTTCTTTATTAATTATTCCTTATCCCTTGTGATCTTCTCTAAGCCATCTTATTTATTTTGTTTTGCTTTGTTTGATTTTAAGACAGGATCATTCTTTGGCTGCCCTAGAACTCACTGTATAGACCAGGCTAACCTCAAACTCACAGAGATATGCTTGCCTCTGTCTCCCCCATGCTGGGATTAAAGATGTGCATCCCCACTCTAAGCCATTTTAAAAATAGACTATGTGATGTAAATACTTTCTGTCGTTTGAGCACCTATTTACAAGAAAATAGTCTCTTTGATGAGATGGGAAAACTGTGTATCTCCACATAAAAGAACAAAGTTAGACCCTTATGCCACAGACAAAACGCAACTCAAAATGGACTGAGGAATCGAAATATAAGACTTCCAGAAGAACACACAGGAGGAAAGAATCTTGATATTGGCCTTGGCAACAGTTTATCTTCGTGGATCACAAAAGCACAGGCACAAAGACAAAAATAGAAAGTGAAGGCACATCAGCCTAAAACCTGTGCAGTCAAGGGCATTACCAACCATGGAAACAGCAACCAACAGCCACCAACAGCTCATTTGTGAATCTGCAGCTCTCCATATCAGTAACAGCTACAGTCCTACTTTGATGAATTCAGGGTCTTACTGAAGCTTAAGAATCCCCCCCAAACATAGGCTGAGTCCAGATAAATATATCTGACCTCAGTGAGACAGACACCTACTGCCATTGGCCATGTAACGTCAATCAAACTCTTCCCATCCACTAACCACTCAAGTCTTGCTTACAAAACCTAGCACAAACAAGCACAATAAAAGCCATCCAACGCCCATTCACAGCATCATCCAACAGAGTCAAACTACAGACCTTTCTCTATCCCAATTCCTAGTTTCACTAATCTCCTCCCAGCTCCACTCAGCAGCAAACACCACTCGCTCTCCAGATGACATCGGAACCTCAGCCAAGCCTGAGTTCATAGCAGAACTGCTTGTTTCAAGCTCAACCATACTCACTTTCTCAATCCTCCTCTTTCTCTATCCATGCCCAACCCCCGACTCACTATCCCATATACAACTTATCATTCCTCCTCTCAACCTCCCACACCCATACCATGAATCAGGTTCCCATCCCAGTTACAGCCATCCTGATGCCCTTCATGCTTTGAGTCTCCATCGCGCCAGGAAAGCAGGTCAACAACCTTAAGTTTGCCTTGAGAGAGAACAAGGGGGATATTGACAGAGCTGATCCTGTGTCATCTATAACCTTCCTGAGATATTTACCTACTCTATTTGACTGTCTCAGAGGTCACTGAGACACCAATAGTTCATGTGAGATCCCAGAACGTTAGAGACCTGAGTTACCTGTAGTCTTGTCAGCCAGGATCAGCAGGATGACCATGGTCATGAAGTATGGCTTTGCGGCTGACATGCTGAAGGGCATGAGGGCTGTCTTGCAGGTGACTGGGTAGGGTGGGGTGGGGCCCCGAGCCCTCCCTCCGTCAGTGTTGGAAACGGGCCAGGGTTAGTGGTGGCGAACTGAAAGGGATGGTAAAAACCGAGGTCAGTCAAGCAGAAGGATGCCATGCCTCAGCAGTCCCCGCTGGGAGTGTCGTGTGAGGGCAGGAGATAGCCCAACAACACTCACAGCAAAGCAGGCCCACCTTCCAGACACATGAAGACAAAGTTCAGCCGGTTGACACCTTGCGTGAGATAGACGGGAACGAACGAGTCACTTACTCGATGAGAAAATTAACAGTTTTAACAAGTAACCTCCAGACTTCTACGTGTCTTTACTAGCAATTTCTCTGCCAGAAAGAAATGAACTAAATGGCATCATAAAAATGCAAGAAGGAGCCGGGCGTTGGTGGCGCACGCCTTTAATCCCAGCACTCGGGAGGCAGAGGCAGGCGGATTTCTGTGAGTTCGAGGCCAGCCTGGGCTACCAA